GGCTCAGGTCATGGTCCCAGGGTCCTGGGATCGAGCCCCGCCTCAGGGTCCCTGCTCAGCGGAGAGCCTGCTTCTCCCTCTCGCTCTGCCTGCCGCTCCCCCTGCTTGTGCTCTCTCTCTCTGTCAAATAGATAAAATCTTAAAAAAAAAAATAGTACAGAGAAATGTCCTGTGTCCTTCATCCATATGCCCCGATGTTATTCGTTACTTAACTGTAGTACAGTATCAAACCAGGAATTTGGTACAGGGAGTATGCATAGTTCTGTGCCATTCTGGCACATGCATAGGTTTGTGTGATCACCACCACCATCAAGATACAGAACTATTCTATCTACACAGAGATCTCCCTCTCTTCATAGTCATGCCCCTGACCCCTTACCATCCCTAGCCCTTGGAAACCCCTAACAGGTTCTCAACTGATGTAATTTTGTAATTTGAGATTGTTATATAAGTGGAATCAAATAGTATGTGACTTTTGGAGATGGGCTTATTTCACTCATCGTAATGTCCTCCTTGAGATCCATCTGAATTGTTGCAGGTATTAACAGCTCATTCCCTTTAATTGCTAAATAGTATTTCCAAGTAAGGATGTACCACAGTCTAGCGAGGTTCTTAACTTCTTTATTATCTTCAACTGCATTCTCTATCCTTTTAGTTTTCAAAGAATTTCTCAAGTTGACTTTGCAAATTACCCACCCACACCCTTTTTCTTTTAAAGGAGTCAATTTACTGTTCATTGTTGCTGTTTGCTTTCTAAATTTGATATACACATTTTTTCCCCTTAGGAAGTTAATCTTAATGATTCAGATGTTTCTTTAAAAAGGTTTAGTGATTCTCAAATCTTTGTAACGTAATTGTAACTAATATTAATATATGGTTGAGAATATAAATTATTTTTTTAAAAGTGTTTTTTGTGTCTCACATATAGTAGAGTGGCTTACAAGCATAGGTCTGGACTCCTACCACTCTGTACAAATGCAGACTGCCTTGTTAAAGCTGGAGCACCTTTTGATGAGAGCCGGCTGTGAACATATTTACTGCTAGGTGGATTAAAAAGGCTGAGGTTCATTAGACAAAAAACAGATGGCTAGTCAGTGAGGTGAGTAAATATAAACACCAGGTGGGCAAGTGATCACCAGCTAGGTTTTTAGGATTCTGCTGCTTTTCTTTTGTTATCTGAAGGTTTGGTAAACCATCTCTTCAATTGTACCAGGTGGAATTAACTGAAACTATCATCCACCACTGGAATGATTATATTTGAAATAACCAGGATTATGCAGCGTGAATGGGTGTTTGAGAAGATGAGTACTTTGTAGTATTATGAGAAAACATTGCATTGGGAAGGAAAGATACATATTTGTCCTAGGATGAGTAATGTGGCACCAGAATAATTTTCCTCCAATTTGTTTATTGCAGTAAACGTAACATAAAATTTAGCGTCTTAACTATTTTTAAGTGTACAGTTCAGTGGTATTAAGTACATTCATATTGTACAGCCATCACCACTGTCCGTCTTGAAAAATAACTTCCCAGTTCTCCTTCTCTCCAGCCTCTAGCAACCATCACTATTTTCTGGCTTTATGAGTTTAACTATCTCATATAAGTGGAATCATACAATACTTGTCCTTTTGTGACTGGCTTATTTCACTTAGTATAATGTCCTCAAGCTTCATCCATGTTGTAATATGTGCCAGAATTTCCTTACATTTTAAGGCTGAGTGATTTCCACTGTAGGTATATGCCATATTTTATTTATCCATTCATCCATTGATGGACATTTGGGTTGTTATCAGAAAGATGCAGGAGATTGGCCAGAATAAAACTGCCAAAAAAAAAAAAGTCAAGGAAAAGGAAGACATTAATAGGGTCAAATATTGATTAAAATCGACCGAGATGAAAGTAGAGATAAGGTTGTCGGGCTCTGCACAAATTTCAAATGAATTGTAAGAGTGGAGACCAGGGAATAAGGGAACTGTAGAAATTGAGGAAGGAAATGTGAAGTGTCAGTATCTTTTTTTTTTTTAAGATCTTATTTATTTATTTGAGAGACAGAGACAGAGACAGAGACAGAGATAGCAAGAGAGGGCATGAGCAGGGAGCAGAGAGAAAAGCAGTCTCCCCGCTGAGCAGGCAGCCCGATATGGAACTCCATCCCAAGACCCTGGGATCATGACCTGAGCTGAAGGCAGACGCTTAATCGACTGAGCCCCCCAGGGGCCCCTGAAGTGTCAGTATCTTTGCAAAGTTTGCATGTGATGAGATCAATGAAGATAAAATGGCAATTTAAGATAGTGTCAAGAAACCATTTTAGGTTGGCTGGTGGAGATTTGGGCATATTTGTAGGAATAACTTATATTAAGAATAGAAAAAAAAATAGAAGAGTAAAGAAAAATATATTCGAGCTGATAATATATAATGCAGATGAGAATGAATTTACAGAATTTTTCTGGCAAATGTTAAATTATGCATTATATAATGCTATTTTCTTTTTACCAGTTTTCTTCTTAAAAGGTAAATCCACCACAGCTTCTTTCCAATTTGTGATGGAAATTGAGTTACAAATTTGCTAAGGTTAGAATAAAAACAAAACAAAAATTCCTTGATAGAAATTTTGTGAGAATAGAACACCATTTTCTAGAAGAATCCAGGCACTTAACCCTCTCTGTAATCCTGATAAGTCTCTTGGAAAAATATCTGTTGTCTAAAAGTGAAATCTGAGGGGTGCCCGGGTGGCTCAGTCAGTTAAGTGTCTGCCTTTGGCTCAGGTCACGATTCTGGATCCAGATCCGGGCTCCCTGCTCAGCGGGGAGTCGGCTTCTTCCTCTACCCTTCCCCCCGGCTCGTGATGTCTCCCTCTCTTCTCTCAAATAAATAAAGAAAATCTTTTAAAAAATAAAAGTGAAATTTGATTTTCATTCAGTTCATATTCCTGCATATTAAATATATGTTTGATATAGTAGTATATTTGCTTTGTAAATAGAATCAATGCTTTATTTTTTAGAATTTTGTACTACAGGAAGATTTATGCAGAGCATGAAAACATGGACAGTTTAAAAATAAATTATCTTTAGTGTTGAAATAGAACATACTAATTTGTCATATATAAAAGGAAATTCCCCTTTATAATCATATCTTGCTCATACTTAAAGTTTGTTGTGCTTTTAATTACACAGCAACTGATGATGATGATGTAGCCCTCCCTGGCTAGGGAACATCAGTCCAGGTGCCTTAGGAAATGCCCAAATTTGGGATGACTTTTTTCTCTGGTTCAGATCTGTTTTATTACAATGGAATAAAGAAATTCCAGTCCACGGAGAGATACTTTACAAAGGTTTCAGTTGACCCTTATCTCCAAAATGCAACGTCGTGTCCTTCCCAGACATTTCATGCACTGCTTCTGCCTCCTGTGTTACAATAGGAGTCACCGATTATCTGAATAATCTGGATTCTTATCTCATTGGTGCTTTAGTACAGTCCACTTTTGGGGCAGATTACAAAGAGCGTCCACTTCCTACAGCTGGGTTTCTAACAGTAAGACTGGGTGACTCTGCTAAAATGGGGAAGTTCTGACCTCTCTCATTACTTTTCTTGGGACATAAATTGTGGTCCAGTGGTGATGTCTAATCATGATCATCTTACTTCCTTTGGGGTACTCATTAGGACTTTAAGGAACACATTTTTCTATTAAATACAAACCTCAGAATGCAAATAATCATAAGTTAAATGTAACTTAAAAATTATATTTTTCAGCTTATTACCATGATATGCATGTAACCAATGAATAAGACTTAGATCGATGGCATGAAGGAAATGTCTAAGCTGAACAACCTTAAAGACTTCCTTTCTACCCATAACATATACCCCAGTTTCTTTTTTTTTTTAAGATTTTATTTATTTATTTGACAGAGAGATAGCACAAGTAGGCAGAGAGACAGGCAGAGGGAAAGGGAGAAGGAGGCTCCCCGCTGAGCACAGAGCCCGAGATGGGACTTGATTCCAGGACCCTGGGATCATGACCTGAGCCGAAGGCAGATGCTTAACCAACTGAGCCACCCAGGTGCCCCATATACCCCAGTTTCTGTGTAAAGCTCAGAGTCTGTCCTTTACTTTGAGGTCTTTCTTGTGCTAGAATGGCATTAACAGCTTATTATCCATCACATTATAACTAGCTTTATCTGCCAAACTCCTTCAGATTAACCTGTTTCAGACCATTATACCCAGTTCTGAAAGCTCAAATAGGATGGGCACCTTCTCTGCAGCTAGCCTATATGGAACCCTCAGCTTCTGCTGAAATATTTAAGACAGGAGAAAGAGGAAAGCTAGTCTGCTACCCATAGAGAGGGTGATGTGTTCAGTTTGCAGATGGAAAGATTTAGATGTTTTGCAGGACACTGGAGGTATTGGTAGCAGACTTGGAATTGGTTTGGGAAATCAGGTGGGTAGTTATTAATATAAAATGACAATTGGCCTTAGGAGACAGGATCAGGAGTCCAAAGGAAAGTAAGTGGAGAGGTATTGGGACTGAAGACTGAATCTTGCAGGAAGAAGAGGAAGAGGGGTTGATGAAAGAGATGTAGAAGCCAGGTGGAGAGGCAGGAAAAGCCTGTCACTGTCCTACCACTGTGGACCCCCACAGTCACACGTAGCTTCAAGTTTAGATTTTTTGACATGCTTTCTAAGTGAAATCACCATATTTTGTGAGTAGGTATTAAAACTTTAATTTAGTAACAGTACACATTTAAAACATTCCAAAATGTTTGGATTCTTAAAAAAAAAAAAAAAGGAAGTGGCTTGGATTCCCACTAAATAATGATAATTTTGGGAAGAAAATCAGAAGGAGACTGTTCTAGGAATAGGTAATCAAAAATATCAAAAAAGTCAGAAGTTGAAAAAGGCCAAAGAGAATAAGCACTGAGAAAAGGTCCTGGTATTCACTGAGGAGATCACTGGAGTTCTTTAAGGGAGAGGTCTGAGTATTGTGGTAAAAAGAGCTCAGGGAATTAGTACATGGTAAGAAAATGGCGCTGGTCTCGAACATCCTTTAGAGGAGAGTTTGGCAGTTAGAACCGCACTCATGTCTGTCTGCTGCTTGTTTTGTAGGTGTTGTGAGTGTAGTCCACTTTCCCTTAGTTTCTTTATTTTTGCCTTTTATTTCCTACCTCTTCCATTTCCTCCAATTCTCTAGGGAAATGGAATCCTGGCCAAAAGGCAGGCCTGTCATCTAATTGTCAGGGTACCCAAACAGAGCACCGTGGTAAGTTTCTCATTCACACTCATGGTCCTGGAAGGCAGAAGTAGATACAAACATTTGTCCAAAGTCTATCATGTTATGACTGAATCAAGGTACCTGTAAAAGAGCTCTTCAGAAAACAAGAGTGGAGGTACACCGCTTGGAGGGATAGGAATGAAGAGCAGAGAGCTTTGAGCAGCTCACCTTGGAGGGGACAGGTGGGAGCTTGTCTGGAGAGGCCTCTAGGCAACTATAAATACCTACTGCATACGTTCACACTTCCTCGGCTTGCTCCTTAAGGGCAAGCAGGAGAGCATTTCAAGAGTCTGAACCAGGCAGGCATCTAATATTATTGCGTTTTTACACCTCAACCACCAACATCACTGACCATTCCCAGCCAGCATTCACAGAGCCCCTAAACCAGAAATAGTGACTGAACCAGACTCAAGGATTGATTGATTCTGTGGTGCCGACAGGAGCCATTGTTTATGACACTTCTAACCAGCTCCAAGGGGGCCTTGACTTGTGTGTTTAGTTCTCGGTCCACCGAAGAACATTTCCTGAGAGTAGCGGGGTGAGGAAACTGCTCCAACTTTCTCAAGTTTTCTTCTCTCCTGCTTTTGTGCTCAAGCATCTGTGTAAGCCTTACAGGGCCTACACCAGGAGCAGCAGAGCCCAAGTGTCCATTTCTGGTGCCACAGAGTCCAGGAGTGCTCCCAGGCTTGATTTGGAGCCATTCTTGCCTTCCTGATATTTTTTTACTAGTTGCGTGCTCTGGCCTCTGAGCCCCTGCAGTGAGCTTTGTGGGTGTATTTGTATTTGCACAATGAACAGTATTTTTTTTTCTCTGCTTTAAATAAGGGTGACTATTGTACCACCTATCACATATCCATCTGTCTATTCATTATTCACTTCCCATTTATTCATTCATTCATGCATTCAGACATTTATTAAGCACACTTTAAATGCCATGCCCATCTCAGGGGCCACAAAGGGACTAAAAATATTGCTTACCATCAGGAAACAAGACCTGAACAAATGTAGAATTAAGTCTTCTTGGAATTCGGAGCAGGAAAAAACACATGAGGCTGTGAGCAAGAAGAGGTGGATTCTAATAAATTTCCTACTGAACAGTTAGTCTTAATGAACGTGCTTTCTTTAGATGGTGAGGATTGCACCAGAAATCAAGATTTCTGGATTTCAAGTCAAGTTTTGAATACTTTAGAGGAAAAATTTGCATATATGCAGAGTCATGGTGGTAATTAGAGTATGAGGTCCCATTTTGAAACACTGTAATCTGGTCTGAATCTGATTTTCATTTCCTGAAGGATTTACTTGTATCATATCAAGCTGCTCTAGTCCTTTTAATTGCAAACCCATTTAAAACCTGAAAACTGGATACTGCTCTCGGCCTAGGCCACCGCTGCGGTTGAGTTAACAGGAAGGAGCATGCTAAATTTTCAGTTTTTGACATTGGACACTAGAGGACAGTGTTTTACTTTTTTTAAGATTGACGGTCCTGCCATACAAAATGCTGAGCTGTAGCTCGAGGGCTTTGTGAGTGTGGAAAATCTTCAGATATTTGCAGTGAAACCCACCATTCCCTGACTGGTCTTCACAGAGCTGAAGAAATGATTCCATGTGACTCACCAATCCTTAGAGAGAGAATTTGACCAAGCTGTTTGTCTTCATGGTTGAGTTTTCAGGATATGTAAAATTGAAATGTATCCCTTACAGAACCCCACGTGAAGATTTGCTTTTTTTTTTTTTTTTTGAGAGAGAGAGCAAGCAAGCAGGGGAGGGGCAGAGGAAGGGAGAGAATCTTAAGCAGGCTCTGTGCTCAACGTGGGGCTTGATCTCATGACCCTGAGATCATGACCTAAGCTGAAATCAAGAGTTGGGCACTTAACCGACTGAGTCACCCAGGTGCCCCAGATTTGCTTTTAAGTACATTTTTTATGCACTTTTTTCAGGCCTATATTATCACCTTCTGGGGGTGGGGGCACTTCTAACGCGCTGCACATACAAATGTGTATCTATTACAAAATCTTTTGGCAACAATAGGCCCCATTCCCTTTCACCAAGACTTGCCTGTGGACCCTGCCTACCCCAGCCTCTTCTCTCTCCATGTTACTGCACTTGCCTACTTTCTGTTACCATTTATTTTATTTTATTTTTTATTTTTAAAGGTTTTATTTATTTGAGAGAGAGAGAGACACAGCGAGGGAGGGAACACAGCAGGGGGAGTGGGAGAGGGAGAAGCAGGCTCCCCACTGAGCAGGGAGCCCCATGCGGGGCTTAGATCCCAGGACCCTGGGATCATGACCTGAGCCGAAGGCAGACGCTTAACGACTGAGCCACCCAGGTGCCCCTGTTACCATTTATTTTTGTAGCTTCTCATTTAGTATATTTTCATGGCTGTTTGCATGTGTTATCTCTGCAGTTAGAATGTAAGCCCCTAAGGACAGGGGCTGTGTTTTATATTAATTTTTCTTACCCTCCAGTGCTCACGATAGGACACAGAAGAGATGTTCCATGGAAACTTTCTCAATCAAATGAAGTGGGAGGTGATACCAGTAGGACAAGCACAGAGTTACTGGTAAATTACCTGAAGGGTATCTTTGGGAAAAACCCTATATCTGGGTATGTAAAACCCTGATTTCTATTCCTAGAGCCTGTTCTTGCCATTCTTTATCACTATTCCAATTTTCCTGTTTTGTGTCTCATTTTATCAGGACCCAAATTAGGGAACTAGTGGGGAAACTAGTCCTGAAACATACCTGTATGATTTCCTGTAAATTACTAGATACACTGTCCTCTTCTCTACATCTTTACCCTTACAAATAGCTAATCCTAGTAATGGGAATTTCTTGGCTAAAATTTCTGGAGAGTTCGCAAGTGAGATATTTCGAGTGACATGGTTTCTTAGAAACCCAAGGCTTTCAGAGGGAGTCCATGGGAAGGAAAATTGATATATTTTTCTCTTTCCTGAATTTCTTAACCTCTTACAATTGTCATTAAACACTACATTTAACTTGATACTGTACTTTGATATTCTAATACAGCTGTTTTGATGGAATTATGGTGGATACATTGAATGGTTTGTGGAGAGAGTGAAAGGGAAGGCCGAGATGAGTTAAATAATTACTATTGAATTTCTCCATGCAAGATCTCAGAGCCTAACCAAGGAGAGGAAGAGAAGAATGGAGGGATATTAAGAGGGCAAAACTGTTGGGATCTAGCGATCAAGTTGGTTTTGGAAGGTGAAAAAGAGGGAAGAAACTAGGATCACTTCCAGATTCTTGAATGGTTAAGGAGTCATTATGAGTACAGGAAACCGAAGAAGAACAGATCCAGGGCCAGGTGAAAGAGTCTGGGTTTATCATGAGCTGTCTGTAAGACATCCATGTCATGTCAAGAGGGTGTAGGAGATCAGAATGTGGAGTTTGGAGAGAGATCTGGGCCAGAGATGCAGAGTTGGGACCCATCTGAGCTTGATGATAGAAATTCCAAGTGGGTTTGAGATGGCCCACATTAAAAGACCACTTATGAAACTTTGGGGAAAGCTATTTATAGGGTGAGGAGAGGAAGATAAGCCAGAAAAGCAAAGTGTCCAGGACTGTGGTGAAGGGAGAAGATAGATTTAAGAGGAAGGCATGGTCAAAATTGCTCAGTTAACAGTAGGTCTGAGAGGAAAGGTAAGACTTGGAATTATGCAACTAGAAGGCCAGGTTCCAAAGAGCCATAGAACATGGCTTGTAGTGAGCTGAGAATAAACATGCTTTGGGATTCCCCACAGAGCCAGGTACAGTGCTAAGCATGTGGGACGTACACAATGAATGCTCTACTCATTGAACTGAGTTGCATGATAGTGATCATAAAACACCTTATTTATTCTTAAATAGGGAGGGGGAAAAAGGATATGCTTGCTAGAACTGGGGAATACTTTTCAAACTTCAGAGGCTCCTCACTCATTCTGATTCAGGCCTCTATGAACCCTCACAACTCCTTCTCCCAGATGGGAATCAGTCCATGTAGTTAGAGATGACACGGAGGGGGAGGTTTTGAATGATTGGCTATTATGGACACGGGGAAAGAAGAGATGGGAGCCACAAAGACATGGCTATATGAAGGGTTAATGGTATATATGTGTAATTATGTCAATTTTTGTACGCATGCCTTAGATCTTTTATAATCAGTGTGTGAGTGGCAAATAAATATGTGGTACTCACCTTCAAAATATTTTAGTGTTTCTTATGTGCCCTGTTGTACCATAATTCAACACATAGCCCTTTTTAAAAAAATTTTTTATTGTTATGTTAATCACCATACATTACATCATTAGTTTTTGATGTAGTGTTCCATGATTCATTGTTTGTGCATAACACCCAATGCTCCACGCAGAATCAACACATAGCCCTTTGCTAAGAGAGATGGAATAGCATGCATCCATGGTTGGATTCAGTATGTGAATATTGAGCACTAATGAAGTACAAATTAGACATTGTGATTCATTTAAAAAAAACAAGCCAGTCTCATAAATAAATAACAGACTACTTGACTTGCCTGGAGGACTTGTTCCCTACTTTTATAAGGCTGACTTCTCAACCCTAATGGATGAAATGTCATTTTCCCAGAGAGGCCATTCCTGACTACCTAAACTATAGAATGAAACCCCTCCTCATTATTCTATTTCATAGCATCCTGCTCACAATTTCTAATTGTGTACACACTCATCTATTTGTTTACTTGATTGATGTCTGTCTTGCTCATGATCATGAACTCCTTGAAAGCCAGCATCAAATCTGT